GTTTGGTAACGTGCAGGCTTTGCTTGTGCACAGCGAAAGTGAGAGAAACACTAAAAAAGGAAGATTTGGTTGCACAAAGAAACCTAATGTCGGTTATATGGAAATATTTCTGACCAACTACAGGTACTTGTGTTTGATGCCGGGCGACTAATTTGTCTGACCTTTTAAATCAGCGGCACAAAGCTCCGTGTCGGCGCAAAGCCACACCGAAATGTCATCAAACACAATAAAGTGCTGGAGGCCTTTGTCAGTGGTGCGCCTCATTAGAACGGTTCCAGACGGTTCACACAAGTCGTTTTTCAGCTTTTTTGTTTTTCTATTTTTGATGCAGATGTACCCCCCCATGACCCACATCCTTCGAGAATGATTAAGTCTCTCCCAATAAAGTTATTAAAGTCATCTGCTGCAATCTGTATCACAGAAAAACTAAATATCACAACGTTCTTTCCTTTTCTGTCTGTTTTGAAGCAACTTTTCCAGCCTTTGTCGTGATTTGGTCTAAAATATTTCCACCCTGAGACATTTTAAGACACAAAAAATGTACAATTTTCCCACAAAAGTGTTTGAAAAGTTATTATAATTAGTTTGCAATTGAAAAAAAACGATATCTGTGAGTATATTATGTTTTTAAAAAAATTATATAAATTTTAGATAATAAATAAATAACTTGAAGAATAAAATAGACAATAAAAATAGACGATATCATATATGGGTGACTGAAAAGAAGATTCTGCCGCCTCATCTCCTCACGCTGGTTATTCAAAAGATCCAAAAGGCAAAAGCTCGGTCACCCGAAGATTTAAGCCTCGACTCTGGAACAAGGATTGAGGATCTCATACGGGGTCGGTAATTCTACGACAGAACCAGGGGTCAGGCGCTGACAGGCTTTACAAGTGATCAATACACTCTTAAAACAGATCCTCAACACCAGTGACCGGCAGCCAGGTAAAGCAGCCACTAACCAGTGTCCCTCCCTGCCACATGACCAGTCCGACCAGTCTGAGGGACTCGTGGATCCTCTTAACCCTTCAGGTTAGAGCTGATGTTGGCAGCAGGGTGAGAGGTCCTCAAGCTGATTAAAGCTACAATAAGCCCGCTGGGCCATGGGAACCGGCAGCTCCAGCACAATCTGAACACAAGCTGCTGAGAAACAGACTAAAAGTTCTGAAGCTTCTCGTCGCTGGATCATAATGTCAGAGATGATTGTTTCTTGTCGTCTTTGGGCTGAAATTTCATAAAAACCATTTTGTAATTCTGTGTGAGGAACCCCTGAACTGTGACTGAGGACTTCAGCCAATCAAAGCGCTTTTATCACACAGAGCAGGTAGCGCAGCAAGAATTAGTTTGTTCCAAAAACGTTCCGAGAAAGTTCAGCAAAGTGTCTCGTAACGGTTTCAGCGTCTTCTGAGGCCTCGATGACATCTTGAAAGAATTATTTTTGAAAATGTTTTTATGAGAAAGTTACTACTTGGTTACATAGAACGCAGCCAGGTAGAATTTCTTTGTTCCAAAAACATTCTAAGAACGTTCTCCAAAAATCTAGCAATGTGTTCAGCGGGAAGTTTTCTTTTGGTTGTCAGATTGTTTTTGTCTTAAAGGCAGAATAAAGTTCTCTAACGATGCTCTAAAAATGTTCTTAAACCTTTTCTAAATGTTACATTAAGCATGTTCCTCCTTTGTTATCATGTAACATTGTGGGAACGTTTAATAGAAGAACGTTCTCAACGGCAACATCTCAAAAACGTCCTCTGAATGTTGCAGGAAAAATGTTTGTTAAAATGTTGTTAGAAACATTTAAATAAAACAAAAAGTCATTTGAGGCTTCAAAAACATCTGGAACCAGGTTTTTTAATGGTTGGTTTGAGAACATTCCTCCTGTGTTACGTAGAACATTGTGGTCTGTTCTAAGAGCAACATCCTCAAAACATCCTCGGAACGTTGCAGGCAAAATGTTCCACCTTTGTTAATACATTCTATAAAAACACATTCTGAGTTTCTTTGCTCAATAAAAGTTCTGAGAAAGTTCTGGTCATGTTTTCAGCAGGACCTTTCCTTTTAGTTAAGAATGTTTTACCTAAAGGCTCTAAAAATGATCGATAACATCCTTCCGATTCATAGAAGAACGTTCTCAACATCTCCAGAACATTCTCAGAACAGTGCAGGCAAAACATTCTGTCTTCTGAGGAAAACAGTTTGTGACGTTGGTTTGAGAACGTTCTTCTTTTGTTATCACGGAAGATAATCTGACAACATCCTCCAAACATCTTCTGAATGTTGAAACGTTCCATGTTAGTTCACGTTTAACCTCACAGGAACATTACTTGAGATGTTGTGGGAACGTTTCCTGCTTGCTCAGAACCTGGACAACCTGGTCGGTCCGTCTCAAATCACCAGACTTGTAGACGAGTGTTTGATCAACCATCTCGGATTTGTCTGCACATTTCTCATCATAAACGACACATATTTAAAACGCTATCTGTAAATTAACGTTATGATAATGTTTCTTTTACCCCCATTTTTTTTGAGCATTGAAATTTAAGGCTGTTTGAACGACAGAATCTCAGGAACTATTAAAGACAAAAGCCTGAAATTTTCACAGTTATTTCGCAGCGTGTCATTGTTTTAGATCCTCGAATATCGGACAAGTAGTTCAATGAACCTTTAATTATGGGTGAGTGGAAAGATTTATAAAGATTCAAATCCCAGGTAGAGCCGGCAGTGAGCGCTGACTTTCAGCTTGACTTTTTTTGTGCATTTAAATCCCGTGTTCGACTATTTTTTTTACATTTTTGTGCTTTTCTATGATTGTTTGTTCTGCAGCAGTTTGAGGAAACAGCTTTTCAACATCACGCTGAGCTCAGAGACGAGCTGCTCTATCATTTATAGTATGTTAGATGCTGAGTCTGAACTCTGCTCTCCGTTAATCTGAATTTCTGGTTAATCTGGTAGGAATGTGTTCATAAATCTGCTTCCCAGCCGAGTGCAACCTGCTGGTCCAAATACACTCCCAGTCATATTTCCATCACTTCAGAAGACACTGACTTACCTCTGGCTCTAACCATTGCACTACTAGACCAACTTTAACCCAAACCTAAAGTTTTTTTCACCTAAAATGTCACTATTTGCATCATGGGAACTTGTTTTTGTCCTAAAAGGGAGTCCAAGCCCTCAGTGTGGCTGTGTAAACAGATTTATGCACCCACAACACCGCTGACGCAAATACACAAACACAGAAACATTCATCAAACTACCAACCCCATGAAGAACTTCTTACTCACTAATTCTTCTTTCCAATATCTGTGAGTGTGTTCTGTCAAAAGAACATTTCAAATTTTATCCACTGCGTCGTTCACTGACAAAAATCCTTTCTTAACATCACACTGTGCACTTTTTGTGTTGGCCGACAACTCGAGCTCCTCTGCAGCACTCTTTACAAACTTTCTGTTTTTCACATCAACACACTATTTTTGTTAAAGTGCTAATTAATTCTCTTTTGTTCTCAATTAAAATCTACGGAACAAAGAGCCTCATTTCATTTATATTCACTAAACAAAGTTGTATTTGTTTAATATTACTGCTTCCAACCCACTGC